TTTGCATATTATAAGTTTTAAGTAGGTTTTTAATATTGGCCCTTCACTAGACTTTCTCCTCACCCTTTGGTGAGCCAGTTTGGTGTAGTGGTTAAGTGTGCGGACTCTAATCTGGGAGAACCGGGTTTGATTCCCCACTCCTCCACTTGCACCTGCTGGTGTGACCTTGGGTCAGTCACAAGCTCTGTCAGAGCTGTCCTTGAAAAAGAGCAGTTTCTGTCAAGAGTTCTCTCAGCCCCACCCACCTCACAGGGTGTCTGTTGTGGGGAGGGGAAGGGAAAGGAGTTTGTAAGCCGCTCTGAGACTCCAAGTGAAGGGCGGGGTATAAACCCAATCTCTTCTTCTTCTTTTGGTTCTTGATTCCAGTTTTTGGTTCAGGTTTGTTTTCCCCTCCCTGTGTCTTACAGAACTCGTGACTGACCCAAGATCATCCAGCTAGCTGCAGGTGGAGGAGCGGGGAATCAAACCCGGTTCTCCCAGATTAGAGTCTGTGCTCCTAACCACTACACCAAACTGCAGGGGGGTTGGGTGACGGCTGAGCTTAGACTGGCCCACGGGCCCCTTGAACGCCTGCCTCCCCACCCAACTTCTCCTGCTCCGGTCTGCCCAGAGGGCCAGCTTTGAAGCCTCTCTGCAGACCTGGAACGGATCTGCACGATAAGGTGTTTTGGCACCCTGTCGTTCAAGGTCTGGCCGTGTTCATTCCGTGCCCTTCTGCCGACCGAACACCTGGCTCTTCCGCGAACACTGGAGGGCCCCAGAGAATCTGCCAATCTTGTTCCATTGGCAGCAAAGCGACGAGACGCGGAGGCCATGAAGATAATGTACAGCAAAGATCACGGCAAGCGAACGAGTGGTGACTCAGGTTTTTCTCCCTCTCTGCACAAAGGAGACCTGACACTCCACGCCAGGAGGGGGGGTGGAATCCTCAAATATTGAGCTCAGGAGCATCCGAGTCAACGGCCTGTGACGGATCTCATGTGCATGGCCTCCTAACCGACTTATCTATTGCATTTCTCTCCTGCCCGTCCCCCGGGAAACTCAAGATGGGAAATGTGGTATCCCTACCCTCCATCTTCCCTCTACAACAGTCCCATGAGGTCACTTAGGAAAGGAGAGGGTAGCTGGCCACCGCGTCACCCAGCAAGCCTCCATGGCCGAGGGGGAATTTGAACCGGGATCTCCCAGGGCCCAGACTGACGCTCTAACCACTGCGCCATACCGACTCTACACTCAGGAGGGTGGGACTGTGTTTCGGGCTCTCTGTGGAGGAGGGGGAGGAGGAAGAGAGAAGATTGGATTTACACCCCTCCCTCCACTACCTGAAGGAGTCTCAGAGCGGCTTACAAACTCCTTTCCCTTCCCTTCCCTACAACAGACACCCTGGGAGGTAAAAGAAGAAGAGGAGATTGGATTCATACCCCGCCCTTCACTCCCCAAAGGAGTCTCAGAGCCGCTTACAAACTCCACTCCCTTCCCCTCCCCACAACAGACACTCTGGGAGGTAAAAGAAGAAGAGGAGATTGGATTTATCCCCCGCCCTTCACTCCCCAAAGGTGTCTCAGAGCAGCTGACAAACTCCTTTCCCTCCTCCTCCCCACAACAGACACCCTGTGAGGTCGGTGGGGCCGAGAGAGCTCTTTCAAGAACTGCTCTTTCAAGGGCAGCTCTGACAGAACCATGGCTTGCCCAAGGTCATCCAGCAGCTGCAAGTGGAGGAGTGGGGAATCAAACCCGGTTCTCACAGATTAGAGTCTGCGCACTTATCCACTACACCAAACTCTCTTGTGCTTCCGTTTCCCATGTCCGGGATTTATTTCAACTAAGGAACAACGGGTGGGATGCCTGCCACATTGATCACATCTCCTCTCTATTTGATGGGGGTGGTGGTGGAAAGTGCTGTCAAGTTGCTGCCGGTTTATAGTGACCCTGCAGGGTTTTCAAGGCAAGAGACGTCCAGAGGTGGTTTTGTCATTGCTAGCCTCCTCATAGCGACCCTCGACTTCCCCGACGGTCTCCCATCCAAACACTAACCAGGGTAGACCCTCCTTCGCTTCCGAGATCTGACCAGATCAGACTAGCCTGGGCCACTCAGTTCAGGGCAGAGACAAACAGAGATGGTTGGCCGTTGCCTCCCTCTGTGTAGCGACCCTGAATTTCCTTGGCGGTCTCCCATCCAAACGCTAACCGGGGTCGACCCTGCTTAGTTTCAGAGACCTGACAAGATCAGGCTTGCCTGGGCCACCCAGGTGAAGGCAAGAGACATTCAGAGGTGGTTGGCCGTTGCCTGCCCCTGCGTAGCGACCCTGGACTTCCTCGGCGGTCTCCCATCCAAATACTAACCGGGGCTGACCCTGCTTAGCTTCTGAGACCTGAGACGATGGCGAAGGCTCTTCTCTAATTAGGGTTTGCAAACCTGAAGTTCAGACCCCGCTTAGGAGGGCTTTTCTGGCTTGAGCTGATGTGCGGCCAATGCTACCGGCACAGCTGAAGCCAATCACGGGCAAGAGGGACGCCTGTGAGCCCTCCAATCTGTGGCATGCTCGTCCTCGGCGCCCCCCCCCTCTATTCAGCATTTCAAAGAAACCGCCATTTGGGATTCTAAACCAGCCTTGCCGAACGTTCAAAGATCTGCTTACGGGCCCAAAATAAAAGCTCCTTTACGGTACTCAGAGTTTGCCTTTCTCAAGACGATCCAAGGTAGATACAAAGCGGATGAGATCTGAGCTCGGAAAGGGCGAGGACTTCCTAACGCGGCTCGCCACGCGAGGGGGAGGGAGCAGGCCGAGTCCAAGGACTTGATCATTCACGGCTGACGTGGAAACGCACAAGGTCGACCTACACAAGTGTGTTCCAAGCTTGCCCGGTTTCTTCCAAATTTCATTTTTATAGAATTGGGATTCTTTGCTTTAACCAAAGGCTGGTACAGGGCTGGAAGACCACCTGAAATTCCTGGTGCCCATCTTCTAAGAACACCAAGGCAACATAAGGAGAGAAGAGAAGCCATGCTGGATCAGGCCAATGGCCCATCCAGTCCAACATTCTGTGTTATCACACAGTGGCCAAAACACAGGTGCCATCAGGAGGTCCACCAGTGGGGCCAGAACTCCAGAAGCCCTCCCACCGTGGCCCTCCCAAGCACTAATGATATAGGACATCACTGCCCCTGATATAGTGTTCCATATATACCTTGTGGCTCACAGCCACTGATGAACCTCGACTCTATATGTTTATCCAATCCCCTCTTGAAGCTATGCTTGTAGCCATCACCCTTGCAGAAGTGCACTATTGCTAAGAATTTTTTTTCAGAGGGGATACACTGCCAGGGAGTGACCCGAGATCACAGGCCCTGCGACAGAGATTGTGCATTAGAAAGCAAAAACACAAGGAATCCGGGAGTCCAAATTCTGAGCAAAGAGAATAAGACAAAATTATACCAGCTATGGAAAAGGACAAAGAACCTGACACACAAAGCAATGCTCAAGCCCCAGTGAGATTTCACTGGGGCTTGCCATGATACCTTCAAGCAAGTCACAGCAGCCTTAAGGGCTACACACTTCTCTTTGGTAGAAAGATACCTTGACCAAGGGCATCCAACAGGCCCGTGGTTACAGTGGGGCATTTCGGGGCTCTGCCCCCTCAAATGTGAGGCACGCCCCACAACAGCTGCTGCCTCTCCCCCCCCTCCTGTGACATTAAAAGGGCCTTCCAGCTGATCGGCGGGAGCACGTGGCTCGCCCATCAGCTGGAGGGCCCTTTAAATCTTGCAGGAGATGAGGGAGAGGGGCGGCTGCTAGCCGCATGCCTTCCCTGAATTCCAAGTGGTGGTTACAGTGGGGCATTTCAGGGCTCTGCCCCCTCAAATGTGAGGTGCGCCCCACAACAGTTGCTGCCTCTCTCCCCCCTCCTGTGACATTAAAAGGGCCTTCCAGCTGATCGGCGGGAGCACATGGCTCGCCCATCAGCTGGAGGGCCCTTTACATCTTGCAGCCACCCCTCTTCCTCCCCTCCTCCCAAGATTTAAAGGGCCCTCCAGCCGATCAGTGGGCCCTTTAAATCTTGCAGGAGATGAGGGAGAGGGGCGGCTGCTAGCCGCATGCCTTCCCTGAACTCCAAGCGGTGATTTCACCGCTTGGAGTTCAGGTGCGGGCAGCCCCCCTCTCCCCTCCCTCACAAAACCTCCCCATGCCCCACCAACCCAACATTTCTGGCTATGGGACTGGCATCCAGTTGCATCTCTTAAGATTAACCTGCGACTCTGGAAGCCCGAGCCACATCACAGGTGCTAAAATACATTAATCGCAACCCGTCGTTTGGCATGATGGCTGAACCAAGTCTCCTTTTAAACATGAGGACTAGAAAGTTGGACCTGACCTGAATAGCCCAGGCTAGCCTGATCTCACAAGCTAAGCAGGGTCGGCCCTGGTTAGCGTTTGGATGGGAGACCGCCGAGGAAGTCCGGGGTCACAACGCAGAGGCAGGCGATGGCAAACCGCCTCTGAATGTCTCTTGTCTTGAAAACCCCGTTAAGGGTTCGCCATGAATCGACTGCGATGGCGCTCTCTCATGCCTTCCGTGCCACTGCTAGATCAAGCACAAACGGCTGATTCCTGACACAACACACCTGCCTTTCAGTTGTAAACAGTGTTCCCTCTGAGCTGAGTTAGTGTGAACTAGCTCACAGTTTTTTAGCCTCTGGCTTACACATTGTTGTCTTCGCTCAGGAAGGATGCCTCCGGAGCAAACTGATTTATGCAGCAGCCAAATCTCTCGCTCACAGCTTTAACCCCAGTGGCTCACAAAGTAAAATTTTTGCTCGCAAGCCTCCACGGCTTAAGAGGGAGCACTGGTTGCAACTGGATTCCCTAGTGAAGGGTCTAACCCAAGCTCTCAGCATCATGCACATTGGTTTCCCCAGTCTCTTCCCCCCCTATAATTGCATCTGGTTCAGTCCTCCCTCCCTCCCCCCCCGCCAGGGTGTAACATTCCCCTGCAACCACCTTTGTAGTTCACGGTGCGCAGACACTGCTTGCTCTGGATGTCCCACAACCGAACCGTTTCGTCGTGCGATCCGGAGAGCAGCAGGCTTCCGTCCGTGGAGACCGACAGGCAGGTCACCTGGTTCCTGTAAGGGAAGAGGGAAAGACGTCCAGTCGAGAGACCAAAGGGACACCCCGCGTGCAATTAAGCACTCTAAGCTTTGCAGCAGAAAAGGCGGCAGATGCCCAAGAGAGGTCTTGAAGGGGTGTTCTCGGCAGCTCTTCTGTGCTTGGGGCTCCTGGTTGAAGCCGGGGGTCATTTCGTAGAAAAAGAGGTGCAGGAGCTCATTAGCATAACCCATTAGCATAACTTTTGCATATGCCACACCCCATGACATCACCAGAAGTGTGTCAGAAGACAACACCCACTGCTCAAACACCACTGGACTGTTTTGGATTGCTAGCTATTGGGGGGGGGGGGAACACGCAGATCTGTCCTCGCAGAGGAGGGAGAGCTTGTACCTGAATAAAACTTGGTCTTAAAGGTGCCACTGGACTGTTTTGGACCGGGGGGCTGGGGGGGGGCATCTGCAGCTTACCTGGCTGCTTCTTGCTGTGACTGAGGGCTGCTGGGAGCAGGGGCAGGGCTTGTTGCATGTGCCCGCCCCCTGGGCTCTTTACTGCCGGAGCTCCGCTCCTGTGCGCTTCTGCGGGAAACGACCCCTGGTTGAAGTGCTCGGGGCTCTTTAGCTTGGAGAAACGATGGCTGAGGGGGTGACATGATCGAGGTTCATGGGACGGAGCAGGCAGAGAAAGAAGCCCTTTTCTCCCTTTCTCACGATACAAGAACCTCCTCTACTCCATGCGTGATTTCGTAAACTTCCATCACGCCACCCCTCAGTCGCCGTTTCCCCAAGCTGAAGAGCTCTAACTGCTTTAACCTTTCCTCAAGGGGAAGGGGCTCCATCCCCTTAATCATTTCAGTTGCCCCTTTCTGCACCCTTTCCCAATGCTGCAATATCTTTTTGGGGAAAGGAGACCACCTCTGCTTCTCACTGGCCCTGAAAGCCCCCTTGCTGGGGTCACTGTAAGCTGGCTGTGCCTTCATAGCACTTTACACAGACACACATGCGCATGCACACACATGCGCAAACACACAAACACACAGATTTTCTGAGGGCAGCCCTCTGCAGCACCCATCCCCCCCCCGTTTCGCACTCGCTGCCCACTCTGCGTGGCCAAACCCTTCTCACGAGACAGGTGGCCGGTCTTGGAGCTGCACCCCTCGAATCGGCAGGCGAGGCCTCACAGGAAGGAATGCTCCTGTGCAAAAGGAGATTCGTGCACAGGGCAAGGCTGCCACCAGTATGACGGGGGGCTTTTCAGTTTAGAAAAGAGAGGACCGGGGGGGAGGGGGTGAAGAGAAGAGACATGATAAGAGGTTTATAAAATTAGATCTGGATCAGAAGGAGTGGACAGAGAGGACTTCTTCTCCCGCTCCCAAAAGTCTAGAGCTCGAGGGCATCCAATGAAACCGATGGGCGGTAGAGGTTCAGGACGGAAAAAAGGAAATACAGCTTTACATAAAGAACGATTAAAAAATCTGGAATTCGCCGCCAGAGGATGTAGCGATGGCAACAGGAATAAACAGCTTTAAAGGGGGATGAGATAGATTCATGGAGGATTAAGTCTATCAATCGTTACTAGCCATGGTGGCTGAAGGGAACCTCCACATTCAGAGGCACTAAGCCTCTGAATCCCTGAGTCAGGAGGCAACATGAAGGGAAGGCCTCGGCCTCTATGCCCTGTTGCTGGCCCTCCAGAGGAACTGGTTGGCTACTGTGTGAGGCAGGAGGCTGGACTAGATGGACCACTGGTCTGATCCAGCAGGGCTCTTCTGATGTTCTTATCAGGGAAGGCCTTGGCCTCTATGCCCTGTTGCTGGCCCTCCAGAGGAACCGGATGGCCACTGTGTGAGACAGGGTTCTGGACTAGAGGGACCACTGGTCTGATCTAGCAGGGCTCTTCTGATGTTTTTATGAAGGCCTCGGCCTCTCTGCCCTGTTGTTGTCCCTCCAGAGGAACTGGTTGGCCACTGTGTGAGACAGGATGCTGGACTAGAGGGATCACTGGTCTGATCTAGCAGGGCTCTTCTGATGTTTTTATGAAGGCCTTGGCCTCTCTGCCCTGTTGTTGGCCCTCCAGAGGAACTGGTTGGCTGCTGTGTGAGACAGGATGCTGGACTAGAGGGACCACTGGTCTGACCCAGCAGGGCTCTTCTGATGTTCTTATGAAGGCCTCGGCCTCTCTGCCCTGTTGCTGGCCGTCCAGAGGAACTGGTTAGACACTGTGTGAGACAAGATGCTGGACTAGATGGACCGCTGGTCTGATCCAGCAGGGCTCTTCTGATGTTCTTATGCCAGTTTTCTGCATGCAGGTATTTCACATGCAAAACAGGCTCCCGATGAAGTGAGGAGGGCCCCTTCTATGCAGAGGCTTCCAAAGAAGAGCACAGCTGTCTCTAATTGGATGACTGTTGGTTGTTTTCTGTCCTTGCAGGATTGATCTGTGGCAATTTTTTTCAGGTATGGATTGTTAACCGTGGGGATAGATTTTTGCCCCGATCACTCCCCGATGTGTTTATTTCTTGTTGCGACGGCTACATTTTGCAGTGGCAAGTTATGCGACTTTTAGTTTAGTAAAAATTTAATTAGGAAAAAAAGTGTCATCCCGTTTGCTTGCAAGGGCTTTCGCTGGCGCCTGAGGCTGACATCGGACACAGCTTAGGGGGGGTTTCAGCGCTTGACGTTTTAATTGCCGTGCTGAACGACTGATGATGGCAAGGCACGTTGACCCCAGCATCGGGGGGAGAGGCAGGGCAGAACGTATCCCAAATGAAATACCTTTAATGGCATAGCGATAAAACACATTGTATTATGAAATATGAGCAAGAAGGCGTTAGAGACCGCAAAATAAGACTGGTCATACAGAAGGGCTTGTTATCTATCTTTAACCGCTTCAGCCAAGAATCTAGCGACCAGAGCTGTGATGTCTGGGTTTGTGTCATTTACTAGACATTGGATTATTCGGTCACTGGTAATACAATGATGTATACTGGCCCCAGAATCAAATTTCTTAACCGAGTCCTAACACCTTTACAATCCACATCAGGCATTGAAATAGTAACCTTTTTGCTCTCAGACGTCCATCCCTCTATCTCCTATAGAATGGCACTCACTCTATGCTCATGCTGCAAGGGAAATTAGAGAGAAGGCTACGGAATGACTGTACTTTTAGAAAGTGCTATTTAAGAAGCCCGATTCTGAAATCTATATTCATACTTCATCTATATAGTTTAATTTTCTTTTAAATGTATTGCCAATCTTTGTACTGTTTTTCATCTTTTCTATTGCGATGGCCATTGGCTACATGCAATAAACTTTGAACTGAACTGTTAATACAATGTTTGGGGTATAGTGGAGAAGAAAGGAGTTTCTTACGCGGACCTGCATGCAATTGACAATCCAAGAGGATATGATGGATTGAATCTATCGATTGTAGAGGACAGATACATTGCTCTTCGTGGAAAGGGACTCTGTTATATTTATTTATTTAATTGCATTTATACCCCGCCCTCCCCGCGAACGGGCCCAGGGTGGCTCACATGGGGCACTAAGTGCATACAGTATACAAAAGTTCAAACAGTTAAAACATCGATTTCAACGGATGCACATATAAAACTCCTAACTCCTTGCGCAGCAGAGGGGAAGGCTAGGGTCATGGAAAGATGTTGTCCAGCCCTCCGGCGGTATCTCTCTATAAAGGAGCAGTGGTGGAAGTGGCCGTGGCGGCTCCTACTCGTAAGCCTAGCGGAAGAGCTCCGTCTTGCAGGCCCTGCGGAACTGCACAAGGTCCCGCAGGGCCCTGATCTCCTCCGGGAGCTCGTTCCACCAGGTAGGAGCCGCCACTGAAAAAGACCCGGCCCTTGTTGCCACAAGCTTGGCCTCCTTAGGGCCCGGGGTCACCAGCTCTGCGGTGAGAAGGGTGACCTAGGTTGACATACAGATTTGAAAATAAGACAATACGCACATGCAGGACACATTTTGCTTTGTACTGAACGGCACATGCTCACGTGTGAACAAGCCCAGACACAGATTTACCCCCTAGTCTGTGGTTTCAAGACTAGGGCTCAGTGGAGCATGCTGGACTGGAACTCATGGATATGTCCCACTGGTAGTGGCATGCTTTTCTCATGTAACAAGCCTTCCCATGACACAAGACGCATAAAGGGAAAGGGTTCCTTGCGTCAAAACGACACGCCACTGCCGAGAGGTGGAGAAGCCGAGCCACCCCGGCGAGATTACGGGCTCTCTTTTCCCCAACAAAGAACGGAAGATGATTCTCTGGTGGCGTTCCGAGACATCTGAGATGTGTCTGAGCCCAGGGCTGGATTCCTTGTTCACAAATCCAGAGGAGTTAGCTGCGTTAGTCTGTGGTTGCAAAATAGTAAAAAGCCCAGTAGCCCCTTGTCAGCTAAGCTGCCAAAAGTATGGGGTTTGTTTCCCTTCTACTGTGCATTCCTTCCCTTGCGCTTAATTGCCTCGTCGCTGCAACGCATATCTCTCAAGGCCACTGGAGGAGTTGCTGTGACTAGTATTCCTGGGAAGCTTCTCACCTCTCCTGCTTCTGCAGCCGTTAGTTCTCAGCCAAATGCCTGCATGCGGGAACCCGATTAATTGGGTACTACATGGGGGGGGGGGTATACGAATGCCCTATATCCTATTATGCGCATAGGTAACCCGCCATTCCTAACAGTGTTCATCTTACTGCATCTATGGCTTTTCAATAAAAGTAAAACCTTCCTGGAAGTGTGTACTATGTTGTTTTGCTGTGGATCCTGACACCACTTTAAAACTAACAAACTTTATTGTAGCGTAAGCTTTCAACAAAGAGACAAAAAGAGAGCTGTGTTTCTCAAACGCTTATGCTGTGATAAAGTTTGTTAGTCTTAAAGGTACTACTGGGCTTTTTACTTGTTCACAAAGACAGTAACGGACAAGTCACGCTTTGTGCCTTCCATTTCTGAGACTGTGTACTCCCCCCAAAAAAAATTACCCTGGGTTTTAAAAACATGAGCTCTGAGTCTGGAGCTGGATCCGCCACAGTGCCCACCTCCAAGGTTCCCTCTAAGCTGTGAAGTCTTGTGAGCAAAAATTCCATTTTGGGAGCTACTGGCATTAAAGTTGTGTGAGTGAGTGATCTGGTTACTGCACAAACTAGTTTGCTCTGGAGCCCTCCTTCCTGAGCTGAGATAAAAATGCGTGAGCCGGAGGCTAAAAAACTTTGAGCTCTAGCTGACACTAACTCAGCTTAGAGGGAACAGTGCCCACCTCAGGAGTAAGAAAAGAGTCCAGGAACAGAAAGTTCCATGAAGGACTCCACCTGCATTTGATGCGTATCTAGGGAATCAGGGCCGAGTTAGTCCGTGCACACAGCTCCGGAAGCGACGGCGGCCCAACACAAGCACATCATCCGGGTGCAAGAATGGCAACTCACCTGTGCCCCTGGAAGACTTTGCCGTTCTCCCGCTCAGTCCGAAAGCCCCTCTCTCTTTGCACAGGCTGCCGGGGGGGGGGAGGGAGAAAAGAGTCCAGTTTTAATTGCCGCCTCTTGTACAAAAAGGGAACCAAGGGGTTTTTAAATGGTGCAGTGGTTAAGTGCGTGGACTGTAATCTGGGAGAACAGAGTTCGATTCCCCATTCCTCCACTTGCAGCTGCTGGATGACCTTGAGCAAGCCATAATTCTGGTAGAGCTGTTCTCTCAGGGGCAGTTCTGGAAAGAGCTCTCTCAGCCCCACCCACCTCACAGGGTGTCTGTTGTGGGGAGGGGAAGGGAAAGGAGATTGTAAGCCGCTCTGAAACTCCGAGTGAAGGGTGGGGTATAAATCCAACCTCTTCTTCTTCGTCGTCCCATACACAGAGGAGTGGGGAAAGC